GGGCTTGATTTTCCAGCCCCCCTCCTTCTCTCTGCCACTGGATTGTTCCTCCAATGACACCACAGACCTGCTTCATTTCTGTGCAGCTGATGCCCTGTCCAGGCTGATATTTTTCTAACTGACAGTGAGTGTTCTTGCCAAATGCCAAGGCCCATAGTCACATGTGTTTGCGTCTCCACTGCAGCTTGTCCAAGGCTGCTGGGGAAAACATTTTATCCAGGGGGCAGCTTTAACTAGGCCTAATTCTCTGAAAAGCCTCTGTCTGTAAATGCATCCAATGAAGAGACAGGCTCCTATTGTCTTCTTTCTAATATTATCGTGTTTGACACAGCCTGCTCCAGTCCTTGTCAGCCCATGTCAAAAGCCAAGTTTTCAGGCAAGGTGGTTCTCACGAGGATTTTTGTTTCTGCTTCTTTGTTTTGGTTTTTTGGGGGAGGATTTTTGGGGTTTTTTTTTCCTTTTTTTTCCCCAGGTAATATGCCCAGCCTCATACCACCACACTGTTTAAAGGGATAACTTGTAGCAGACTATTGGGATATAAGTGACGTCTGTTTAAAAAGCTAAAAAAAATTTTAAAGACTTCTTTTTGAGTTCTGCTTTTCTGCAGAATTTTCAGGAGACATGGGAAACCATGTTTCAAATCATAACTGACAAATGCATTAAAAAACAGCATTCTTTCTTTGTTTTTTCCTCTTAAAGATATGTTGTCTCCCTTCTCCTTCCCAAGCAAATACTCTAACTGAAACTAATCTAGTTGACTGGTGATTTTCTTGCCATGCCTTACAAAAGGATCCTTTTTTTTTTTTTAAAATAATTTTGAGTCTATTTATAGGACATTGTATTGTCATTCTCAAAACACAACAGGAAAAAAAGAAACAAAAAATGCTATCACCTTGGGTAGTAATCCAAGCGTTCTGCTTTGCTTTTGGACAAATGATGCATTTGGACTGAAGAAGTGAGGCTGCCTTTGAGACATACATTGATTTTAAATTAAAAAATAACCGCTATGTTTTACATTAAGAGTGACAACTAAATAACGGAGTAGACCTTACTTAGTGTTATTTGTAGCAACTCCATTGCACCTGTCTGAGGGGAGGGGGAAGGGGCAAGCCTAAATGGGGTAATTTTACTGATCAATAATCCAGATCTCTCAATGCACATAGTCACTACTTGACAGAATTACTGAACTACGGCTATCTGTTTTTCTTATGGTTCAGGCCTCCAGGTTCAATGTTACTGAGTTTATTAACTTTAACTCCATTCTCCTTGAACATTTGTCTCTTCCTTTTTGTAGCTGTGTTGGGGGTGGGGGAGGAGAGTTGAATGAAAATGTTATATTTCATTTACTCTGTAAGGATACACAAAAGGGAATTTTCGGTCCAGCAGATAGGAAAAAGGTTTAGAAGAAAGTTGTTCCTGCGATGTTTTTCACTATCTTTGTAAACAGGCCTTCCTAATACATTTTAGAGAGTATTTTTATAAATAATAAAATTTTAAAGGCAGTATTGACTTGGGAGAGTGATTTTTCAAACAATTAGAATACTTCAGTTTTATACGACTAATGCAAGAACAGTGTAAGAAGAAACCAGAAGTATCAATAGTTAACAAAGAGCCTACTTAAGTATCAAACAGCAAAGTATTTCTTCCAATTAAAATGTGGTTCTTAAGAGGGACCCTCCTGGGTTTTTTGTTTGTTTGTTTGTTTTTTAAGCTTAGTTTGAGCTTTAAATGTATCTGAAAGTAATAAAACCAGGCTTATTTAAAAAAAAAATAATTCAGAATTACGACTGTTCATTGGCTGCCTTCTCACCCCTGTCCACCTCTTCACCCAGATTTGCTAACACAAAGTTTCATTAAGCAGCAGCCTTGTATCATTCTTTTGTTATTAGAACAGAGGTGAATCTCCATTGAGGAAATGTGGGCCTGGACTGTGCAAACATGGTGGCCTCCTCTCTTCAGTCTCAACCTACCCAACCTGATCTTCCTACCAACACGGACCTGGTCTTTCTCTCCTATAAAACCTTTAATGACTCACATCAGCCATAAAGTTCACATGCCCTCATGAGGCATATGGGGCATGTATAGCCAGCCCCGTGATCCAGCTCCAACATTCTTCTCCGTTCGTGTGGTATAGTCCCTTCTCCAAACACCGCTCCCCAGACGTCCTGAACTACTACTCATAAATCTCTGAACACAGCAAACTCTTGATCACTTAGGAATTCTTTCAACAGCAAGTATAGAAAACCTGACCAGGAGTGGCTTAACCTGTAAGAATATTTATTATGTTTGGGCAGAGGATCAGGAGTAGATAGTTAATGGGTGGGGTTTTCACAGCTTGATAAGAGAAAGACCACACGTGAGGATTCAGATTCCCACTTTATTCCTCTTCTCAGAATGGTACCTTCTCCTCCTCTGCAGCTATTCCTGATATCTGAGCCTGTCTGATATATGCTCTGCAAAAGGTAAACTTTACTCCAGTTTTTGCTAAGAGGAGATTTCAAGAGGGATGAGATATATGAAAGAATAATTTTTTACAAAAGGTAAAATCACGACTCTCATACAGATATAAAATGGATATGTCTTAAAGATGTTAACTCATTCATTAATGAGGGAACCAGGCAGATGTTATAACAGATTCAAAGGAGAAGTCAGAGAAGCACAAATTTACATGGAGTAAAGGAGTGTTGAAATGAATGTGCAAATGGATACAAAATTGACTTTTCCTCAGAAAGGAGACTTGTCTCTCCACAGGACAGAATTAATTTGCATTTCTATAAACAAGAGTCATTTTCCATTGCTTTCAGTTATCTACAACTTAGAGTTGTAAAATAGCTCCCATAGAATTAGAATTAGATGACTTGGAAGGATATACTCTAAAAGCATAGTTTTTCCACTGATGCACAAATTTTTTCCTACAGAGAAAAAAAGGTGTATTCAATATAGCATTCTTAAAATTGTTAGAAAGATCAAATAATATAATCTCTAGTAGCAGTTACTAAAGTTGGTTGTGCCTGTCACCAACACCACTGTCCCTAATTATCACACATTTTTATGACTCCAGCTCCCCACTCAGACAAATTCTTCCCATAATAGGAATTTAACTTTCTACTTCTGTTGTATTTTCCATCTCTTCTTTTCTAGTTTACCCATTTTCACCATCACTATGGAGTCTTATGTTACGTCCATAGTAGATACTAACAAATGCTTGCTGAATAAGGGAATGGATTAATTTCATACACAAAGAATGTCTTCTCTGCGATATTGTAATTTTTAAAAATTTTCTCTATAGTTTTAGAAAGTAGGTGTGGTCATAATCATTCATTTTTCATGGTATCATGAACCAAGACGACACCTAAAAATCCAATAAAAATGTTAGTTATGCATGTTAATAAACATGTTGAAAGTAAAGCAGAGCAAAGTTAGCCTTTAACCAAATGAATCAATTTTTTGAAATATTTTAATAATTATAAATATTTATAACAGAGAAACAGTAAGCACTCAATACAAGAGGAAGAGAAAACTAGACAAAGGCCCATCTACTGTTAAGCTATGTTGGTTGATTTTTATGGTATATTTATTTGGTTATATGTGTTCTTTGGATTATCCAGGTCATTAGTAGTGACTTTGTGCTTTACAGATACAACCTATATTTGAAATAATTTTACTCCCCAGCACTAATTTTTCATTGTATTTCAATATCTGAGTGTATGTGTATAGATATAGGAGAGTACTTCAAAAAGTTTGTGGAAAATAGAATAAAGGATAATATTAATCTTCTCATGAACTTTTTGAAGTACCCTCATATATTTTGCTTTTTGCCTGAGTTGTTTCCTTTTATTTTTTTCTTTAATAATCTGGTTGTTTTCAAATTGGGTTCTTTAAAACCTCAGGATACTACTAGATGTTTCTGTGTATTACTTAAAGAACATGTGCTACCATAAACATGTTTCATTTACTTCTGCTTCATGATCCCCAGGCCCTATTCCAACTCCACATCGAGGATTATGACCCATTTCAAATTGGGTTCTTTAAAACCTCAGGATACTACTAGATGTTTCTGTGTATTACTTAAAGGACATGTGCTACCATAAACATGTTTCATTTACTTCTGCTTCATGATCCCCAGGCCCTATTCCAACTCCACATCGAGGATTATGACCCAGGAAATGGACATACAATCCTTCTATAGCTTGAAAAGTTTGAAGACTTTTAAATCCTTTTCATTTTTGTATTAGCCTTTCTTGACTTCCAATAGGGATATTTTTTATTTTTCAAAAACTGTTTAATTTAGGAGACCAAGATTAGACAGAATAATCTAATTGTAACTGGTTCTAAGAATAGCAGGAGGTCCACTTCTCAGTTCTTATATATCAGGTCTTTACAAATATAATCCCAGGTCATGTTAGACTGTTCAGTAGCAGTAGACCGGCATCAATGCATTCAAATTGTGTTTTCTTACCTAGCTAATAAGTAATTAACTAAAGAATTCTAATCATGTGAATTATAAGAAAAACATCACTATTTCCTTCTATCTATTTAAAACATTTTAAGAGAATTCACTGCTGCATAATATCCTAAAAGAAATTGATCATACTTTTCCTGTAATAAATGTTGTTCTGACAGTAAAGCATTAGTAACCAATTGATAACCTAGCAACAATATTGTGATCTCTTTAGATAATTAATCTTAGCTATTTTCCTGTCAAGAGCAACAGTGTTTGATTTTATGTTGAGCCAGAAAGATTGCCAGTTTGGAAAATTAAAAAGCATTCCTTTTATATTATTCATTCCAGTAACAATTTATGATGGCGCATTTAGCTGCTGAACACTTGTCAACAAACGTAATTATGTTTCGATATAAACAAGATTGGTGGTTTTACTATGCAACTCCATCTTTGTTGAGAATGTTTTGATTTAGGTTCAGATTATACAAGCTGTGTATTTATGTGTCATTTTTTTCCCCTTCTTTTGTTAATAGTTTTTTCTGATAATTACTTGTAGGCAAACAAGCATGCATTTAGGATCCTTATGCACGGGAGATATCAAACGGAGAAGAAAAGCTGCACCTTTGCCTGGACCTACAACAGCAGGTAAAACAAAAGAGGGGTTGGAGTTGGAGTTTATAAATCATCAAGAATAAAATATAGATAATCCTTAATCACTTGCACTGAAGAAGAAGCACCATTGCAAGAAACTATTAAAACAAATCATTTGCATTTGGTGTTGGGATGTATTGCATGTTCCT